AGAATAACAAACAGAGAGAGATCCGATGATCACGGAGGAAGCCACGGCCCTTGGAAAATGGCGGAAAGATGTTCAGTGGTAGCGTGTCACCGGTTAGTTTTATCAGTATTTTTGACGTTAAATGTTGGCGGAAGAAGGTTTTACCAGTGTGCGCCCCTGATATTTCCGCTGTTAGCCCGGTTTCATAGAAAAACAAATCGGATCTCTACTTCTGATTGTTTGTTATTTTGTGATTATATACAGCCGGGACCCACTTGAATTCATAAAGTCCTTATATGCTAGTCATGCTGACGACATTAAAATCTACGGTCCTGCCCATAACTCAGCTCCAGATTGACCTTAACGTGATTCAAAAGTGGAGTGAGGAATGGCAACTCCCTCTAAATTTAGACAAGTGTACTAGTACTAGTAGGTACTGCACCTTGAAAAGCACAATCTAAAAACAGATTTTACCGTCGATGGCATAGTGTTGTCCTGTCTTTGGCAGTATAATGATCTTGGCTGTCTGGTTTCCGAAGATCTATCATGGTCTCCCCATACCACCGATATTTGCAAACACAGTAAACTCTTTCTGTTGGAAAAGGTATTCCCCGACATATCCCAAGGAGAATTCACCAAACTTAAAGCGACACAAGAATCATAGGGGACTTAATCTTCACCTAACGAGCTGTTCACAACAAAATTCTTCCATGGCATTTTTGAATTCATGATCTATTCGTTCTGGAATTTAAAATTTTCCTGAAGCCGGTCCTGTTCTTCTTGTGTTTCTTTCTGTCTTCGGAATTCCTGTTCTTTTCTTTTTTTCTGGCTTTGGGCTCCCTCTTCTTGTTTTTCATTTGATCTCCGATCTTCTTCTTGTTGTTGTTGTTGCTGCTGGAAGATGCTTCTGTTCTTCTTGTTTCGCTTCCTGTCTTGGCGCCTGCCTTGGCGCCTCTCGTCTTAGAGATTTTCCATGCAATGAGGCAATAATTGATTAACCTGCTCCATTTTGGCTGTTTGCTGCTGTGTGTTTACTCTGCATCTTTCTTGACATTTGATTTTACATCAATTTTAAAAAGTCCTGTGGCGAAGTCAAACTTGTTTTCTGATGTCAAAACCAGTGTTAAAGGAATAATAAATTTGTAGGTATCACTTTTGGTTTCCAAATATATAGAACACTATGGAATGTGCTGGAACTTTTCAGAAAACGCGTTTGTGAACTTGTTTCCAGGTGTCAAATCCAGTAATAAAGTTACTATTTCAGTTCCATTAGCTGAAATCAATCTACTAATTATCTCGCTAATAATATCGACTAATTATCTCGCTAATTATCCCCCTGATTATCTCAGGCTAGACAACTAGTTATCTTGCCAATTATTTCACAATTTAGCACCAAAAACTCCCTTTCCTTAACTAACAACCACTATTGACCTAACTAAATTTACCAATCACCTTCCGCTTTTACTTAACTTTTTACAACAATTCTTTTGTTTAAACTGACGCTCTAGATTTTTCGTGAATTTTGTTTATTTCTGTTTTTCCAAATGTTACTTGAAGTTATTATTCCCTGTGGTTGATATTTCTTTATCTATAGTTGAAAATTGGCTGTTTGATATTTCTAGTGCCGGTACTTTTGCTCTCATTTGACAGCCGTTAAAAATAATCAGGGGTTAGAATGTGCTCTAACCATATCATACTTATAGACCTTGGCCCAAGCAAAACTTTGATAACGTATCAAATTCGTTAATCAAGAGCAAAAGTATCGGCCCCTAATTAACTTAAATTCGCGAGATATGGTACTGATGTAATTATTCGTTGAATTATTCTTTATTCTAAAATAATATTCTGGAGAAGTTATTACATTAAATTAATATACTATGTGCCGGTACTTTTGCTCTCATTTGACAGCTGTTAAAAATAATCAGGTGTTTGAATGTGCTCTAACCACACCATACTTATAGTCCTTGGCCCATGCCAAACTTTGCCAAACTTTGACGACGTATCAAATTCGTTAATCGAGAGCAAACGTATCGGCCTTATATGTATCTAATTACGTTCAAATGTTTTATTTAAAAATGTATGCCTATGCTGATACGTCATTCAATATCTTTTTGATGTATTTAATGGTTCATTTTTTAACGTTTAAACACATTATTTGAAAAGTGTTTATAAGATCTGTGTTGGCAATAACCTGGGGAAGGGCGAGAACTTGAAAGCATACCCATTCTGACACAGTGCGCACAAATATATTGATTGAGTTCCCTTTCAGACCCTCCTGATCTTGATTTTGGTCCAGTTTACAATTTATTCAACTTTAAAGAGAGTTTCTGTCTGTCACCACTTCATTTATGAATAAATGTACGACCTTTTGATATTAATTTATTTTTGTTATCTTGATTCTTACATAAAATCCATATCGTGTAAGTAAATTGGAATGGTGTCAATGTTTTGCTTTATATTTGAAAATTTACTCAGTTTCATTGTTGTCGTGTTTGCATTTTTCTCTTAGCTATTTGTGAGCGTGCCATTGATAATAATTTTTGTAGGAAAAATATACTAAGTGCATTTAATCACACTTAGAAAAAAATATGGATTAATTAGGTACTTTAGACCCGGTTCAAGAATTGGATAGGCCGTTAAGTCGGAGTTTTGAATATGGTCACGTATTTATGACCTTGATGCGATTGGCACACTCAAAATGCTGACTTTTAGCGTGTCATTTCTCAACCAAGAGCATGGGCACTAAATTAAACTCGTTTGGAATGATGTTTTTCAGCTATCTGTTGCTTGTGAATTTATATATTTCTTCATACTCAAATTGTTCTTTGATTTTTTTTATTCACATATTTATTCCTGGCGTTAGATCTATAATATCGAAAAAAAAATCCATCCAATTCACAATTTAGATAGGTAGTACATTTTAGTTAGATTCGAAAAGAAATTATTAATATTGGTTAACGCATATGCAAATTATTTTTTTTTTTTTTGTATAACAGACACTTCAAAATATAGTTCATTTGCATATATTCTTGACTTCAATAATTATTCTACCACAACATTTATAATCACAGCTACATAAGACTACTCCCAATACTTTTCAACGTTCTACAAAATGCACTTTCCAAATTATATTTATGAAATTTAATTTATTGTATTTTTTATTGAAGTTACCCATGTTTCTTCAATACATACAGTATCACAAACCTTGACAGATATATACTTATATATACTTATATATTTTCATTTAAAATACTGAATGTTTTGATGGACAACTTTCAACTCAACTGATCTGTTCCAACACAACTTTGTATTAAAACATTTCTTCTCATTTCTACATTCCTCCGATTTATTATCAAATTCACCGCATTTATAGCACCCCGGTACAGAGATGGTGAGAAGAAATTAACAAACAGTCTTCTATCATCATATTCAATAGCCAGAAGGATTTTGGGGTCACGCATACTTATATTTTGTTTTAATTTTTCAAAAACTATTACCTATTTTAAAAAAATCGATGTATTCATGCTTCATAAATTCATTTTGCCTTGGTATACTTTGAAGTTGCTCCATTGTCAGGTTTTGACTTCTATTTTCATTTTTGGAATTCTTCTGCGCGGCATATTTGTTTCTTTTTTAAGCTATCTTGCCAGTTTTCTGGTTTTGTAACTAAAACCTCCCGAGCAGCTTCAGGATAACTCATTTTTGGACTGATTGGAAAAAATTGCTGGGTTCCCCACTCAAATTATTTTTCAATATACATATCTTTAAACTTTTCAACCTATTTCTTCACTCTTTCCTTAAATGATGCTACTTCCTTGTTCATATTAAGAATCGCAGCTGTGACAAAACCATTTAGGTACTTACCTACCATCGCATTTTTTTCTGCTAATCATTCGTTTTAATTTTTGATTTGAATAAGTATAATCAGTCATCTTGATGCCTGCTTATGAGGGCTACAGTAGGCACAAAATGGAGTTTGCAATCATCAGTGAAGGTCACCAACTTCAAGCCCCAACCAAAATGATATTGTTTTTTAAACTATTTTTTGTGTTCGCAATAGAACCTACTACTAACTCTGCATATTATATCCTCTTCCATACAAATAGACGACAGCTGCCGGATCCTATTTTATGAGTCGAGTCGAAATTCGTATCGAATTGTTAACATAGCGATTCTATTTTTCGATACGTATTACTCGGTACGTCCGGAGCTGTCGTATTCTATATCGAGAGTCATATAACAGACAATTCGACTCGAATCGTAAAATAGAATCCGGCTGCAGGTCTTTTTTTGCAAAATAAACTTCCCTGATATATTTTTGAGACACAATAGAAAATAGACACGAGAGTTACTCAGGATCGAATTTAGAAAGGATAATTTTGGATTCTATGGATTTTCCCAATTTTTTTATGTCAATTTTCAACAACCTTTAAATTAGACCAAATGTTTTGCTTATTACGGTTTGTGAGATATAAGCCTTGAAAGATGGACCTTTTCCCTGAAGAATATAAGATGTAGGTACTGATGTTTCTCAGTGAAAATATTGACAGGTCACCATATTTTACGTCATTCACAAATGTTTAGGTTATCGCAGCTTTCAGAATATTGTTACAGGACAATTTCTGCGCAAAAGAATCCATCTCTCATCGCTTATTTCTTACAAACTGTAATACGTACAAGATTTGGTCCCATGTGAACGTTGTTCGGAAGTAAATTCTCTACGACACATAAAAAAATTGGCAAAATCCACGGAATCCAAATATCCCATGCTAGCCGTGCGTTATTCTTTGTAAAGTTATCAAGGAATTAATCATGAAAAAGTTAAAATATTAGCTTAAAGCCAATACTTAAATTGTTTTTCAAATGGCATTTTTCTTTTTTTAATATCATGAATAGTTTCTAAAAAAAATAGTTTAATTCAAAAGTTAGCAGTGGGCCGATTTCTATGCACGCAAGTTTATTATATTGCAATTGAATTACGATTTTAGATTTAAATTCTTAAAAAGTAATTGTCTTTCCAGAATAACCAGAGAAGCAATGGCGGATTCGTATTTAAAGATGCCGATGCAGAAATCGAAGGCAGCGGTTTCGATGGCGAAGTAAATCGAGATTTGGAGTCCAGCGGTTCCGGTCAGGGTCCGCCTGAGGACGACGATGACGGACTCGATCCGATATCGGACCCAGATCCCAATAAACCCGAGAGTAAGTATCTTGAAGAATAAATGCACGCAGGTTCCTTCTTTACAATTTTTTTTATTGAGCAACCGCTTAACTTTTTGTTTTATTTTTTGTAACTGAGTATCCGGTTTTATCGAGGGTGAAACCCCGCCAATATTTTGCACAGAAACTTCCTCTAGTATTTCAAAAATATGTCTCTTTGAATGCCAGATTTCACATAATTCCCCATACATTCGCTGATTTCTCGAAACTGGTAAAAACAATAGTCATTAAGTAAGTATTTTGCGCTCAATTTTCTAAATAAATTTTTTAAATATATTTGGAGAGGTACAAACGAAATATTGAGCTATCCGAACCAAACATTAAAATTAATTATTATTAGGTACTTCGAGCGCATTTGTAAATCCAATCCACTGCTTAACATCACTTGCGCATAAATACGTTTGGTCTAAACTAAGGAGTTTGCCTAAAAACAAGGCGTTGCATGCTTGATTGCTGCCGGAGCAGCTATTTTCAGTCTTGGAAAATTCCGACAGTAAAAGATATTTACGTATTTAGGTACGTTTATAGTCGCTAATGGTGGCAATTTTTTAATTTCTTTATCGCATCCCCTTTTGGAGGAGTGGCATTTTTTAATAATTAGAAGTTAAAGCTAAACCATTTGTTACAAGTAAAATCGATCTCTGACAGGGTTAAATTAAACAAGAAGTTCAGAATCCAGTTTATTCACGGACATGCACCAAAAATCCAGGTAGATGATGAAGAGATCCAAAGCCATAGATTCAAACCATACTTAGTATAAAATAATGGTGGTTACTTTAATGCTGAAATCAGACAAAGCAAGGCCGCTGACTCAGATAACTTTGGAAAATTTGGTCTGGGCACAAGAAACCAACGAGGGGGCATGCTAATAAACCTCTTAAATGAAGAAAACATATACTGTCTGAACACCTTCTTAAAGAAACGGGAACAGAAGAAGTGGACGTGGGAATGCCCTCGAGGCAGAATCAAAAATGAAATCGATTTTATACTCTCAAATACACAACAGAAAAATCTGCACAAACGTATCAGTACATATTAGACAGGTTCGACCCAAACAGCGATCATAGGTTGGTAAGAGCAGCCTCTAGGTTCAACCTTAACATCAAAAGAACCAAATTCATCCACACAAACAAGTCTCTTACTGTTGAAGAAGTTAGTCTTTTGCTTATTGATATATTTTTTTTTCCTTTGGCATTACCGCTTTATTGAAACAAAATCAACTACTGCAGGCGCAATAACAATCAACAAATTATTAATTATGTTTAAAAAAACCGGTAAATATCACAAATGCTTGAAGCTGAAAGTTCACCAAATGTTTATTGACATTCCACAAGAAAAAAAGACAGCAGTCTGTATTACACGACAAAGTACTCTTGCCATTGACCTGGTGTCAAAAAAAGCAAGTGCCTTATATGCAATATGCAATAATCTAGATGGTGGAAAAACCTATGCTGCCAACCATTTGATAGGAGATAACTTTGGTAGAAGCAAAATATCTGCTCGTTAATTAACAATCTGCTGATAAGCGTTTTCCCACGATCGAGGTGGCAAAGGTTCGTTTTGTTGATAGGCTATACTACTACGATACATAAAATGATAATCTGTCAGATTGCATACCTGATAGTTTATCAGAAGGTGAATAAACCAGCCCTGAATGTAATAATATCTGGAGTTAACAGTTTTCAAGAAGATGTAAACCTCCTGTCATTGTTAAAAATTTTATCGAAAACATTACCTTCTGCCAATTTCACCAAACCATTGTCTATTCTCCAAAACCAGCAGATTCTTGAATATCTTATAAGTGTGCTTAAAAAGCGAAATTTTTTTTTAATATCAGGTATATACATGTGATGCATATTTCAACCAAAATGCCAAATCAAAAATAGTATCAAAGTTATTCAAAACTGCGAAAGGCTTTTCGCAGATATATTTCTTTTATTGAATTAAAATCAGCAATTAGGTAGACTTGAAAAATATCCCTCCATGTTTTTTTTTAAACGTGAAATTTGATTGTCGTTTTAAATAATCAAAATTCAAACTGTCTAAAATCGCGCAAAAAACCAAGTATACCCAAACGTCACGAGGGATTATTATCATATTTTGTTTTGACGTTCTATTGATCTTAAAGTTTTTGACAAAGTTATTCGGTAATTTTGGAGTTAAAAATATTTATAGTTATTGTATCTCACCAGGTTGTAAAAATACGACAATTTCCACTCCTGAAAACGCATTTATTAGGCTACCTATTAAAGAAAAACAACAAAACATCTGACTTATAAAGACATTTCATTAAAAAGCCATCAGTAGCGTAGCCAGGATTTTGTCTTGGGGGGGGGGCAAATTTGCAGGAAGCGTCTCTTGCGGCCCTACTGCGACTGCGCGAAATTTTTGGATGCCACACCCCTTTTTCAGGTTTCTTTACGCTATTTTTGGGACTGTTTATCTTAATTTTGAAGAAATATTCATAAAATTTAAGGGTCTTGGGGGGGGGGGGGCAAATGCCCCCTTGCCCCCCCCTGGCTACGCCAGTGAAAGCCATATTTACCTTTGTAAACACTAGTTTGATATAGTATTGCACTTTGGAAAGATAAGTTAAATGACAAATAATTTACTCTCGAGTTAGTTAATAGGTCTTTATGGAAACGCTGATCCGATTGGAAAAAAAATCATAATGCTTCGGAATTTTTGTTTCACTCACTTTTCATTCAGATGCGAAGGTGAAATTCAAGGAACACGTTCGAATTTTTGAAAAGTGAAAAATGTGAAGAAAAAAAGCAATTTAGGTATACTTACACAATTTAATATAACTATTATTTCATTATAGAACAACCGCCCATTGTTGAAACTATACCGAAGAAAAACGATATAAGTCCTGATTTTACTGCACCAATACCTCCTGGAAAGGATAAGGAATCTGTAGGAATTGAGTCTACGGAAGATAATAGTGTTATAATGAATCCTAAACAAGAGGATCGACCTACTTCATTTTTCTCCCAACCAGGAATATTAGCAGGTAAGCATGTTTCACACCCAACCAGGAGATCCAATTTTAAGACTATCCCGCTGACTTTGTTAATGAGCTTCCAATTTTTTTCCATCATGTTGCTGATAATTATTGTTTATTTATTTTCAACTTTTTAAGATATTTATTAATCTCAGGCAGAAATTACACAAATATACTTATCTTATGAATTAGCATAGTCTAGAGAATAACACATTAATAATATATGATGATGATGATGATGGCGGTTGTAACTTTATCAAGCAAGTTGTTGCATAATATTTGTTAGATAGTAAGTAATATCACAACTTTTGTTCTAAAATCTAAATCTTGCCCATGAATTTCAGAACTGTTGAACAGTGAGAGCATTTATGAAGAATCAATTTTCAATTTGAGTACAAATAAAATAAAATATTAGAGTGTAAATTATAAAGAATCTTTGTGTGGTAATCAACAGGGAACTAATATTGCCCAATTATATTGAACTTTAAACAAATAGTACCCTGGAACTAGGATTCGCATTGAGGTCATTCAGGGATGTGTACTGTGCCATAGTTTGTTCTATTTTGGAATATGGATATACTGTTTGAAGTTTTCTTTTATAAATTTCACATCTCGATATTAAAAAGAGGAGCTCAGACGAGACAAATAGCATTCTGACTTGGTATATTTTCTGACAAGATTATATTTACCGACCTATCAATGCTGCTTAACTTGTGCCATTTGGAAAAAAACGTGAATATGTGCACTTTTACAAGGAATTACATGGCTTTAAATTACTGGAAGTTTTCAACTTTCATTTATTTCCAACGCAAACAAGACTCAATCAGTTATTTCAGGCTTCTTATGATAGAACTAATTATGGCTTTCATAATCCTGTAACAAAGATTCTGCAGATTGTTCAATACTTTGCCTAGTGGGATTGATTTTTCAATATGTACAGGGTTATTGGTTATAAATGTCACCCCCCTCTATCTTTTTTATTTGACATTTTAGAAAAAAGTGTCCCAAATAAAAGTTTTATGGTTGAAATTAAATTTTTTGAAAAACTCCCTTTCGCATATACAGGGTGTTTCAGAAATGCTGGTCGTGCTCCAAATTTCTTATTTTAAATGGAACACCCTGTATATTATTGAATATTCGGATTCTACGTAAAATTCTGTGAAGATTTCATGTGATATACCCTATACCTAAGTTCAACTATTTTGGAAATATTGACAGTTGAAAATTGACTTTTTTGCAACTTTGACAGGCTGTGAAACCTAAACGGTTAATCTTAGAGCAAAACCGAACTTACATTTTTTTCTTAGATTTTCATAAGCTATGATTTGACACCAACTTTGAATTTAACTGGAGATTAAATTTAATTTGAATTTTTAATCATGGATTAAATTCAAAGTTGGTATGTCAAATATCAATGCAGATAAGATAAAAACATAAGATCGGTTTTGCTCTAAAATTAACCGTTTAGGTTTTACAGCCTGTCAAAGTTGCAAAAAGTCAATTTTCAACCATTAATATTTCCAAAACAGTTGAACTTAGGTATAGGGTATATCACATGAAATCTGCTCAAAATTTTATGTAAAATCCGAATATTCAATAATATACAGGGTATTCCATTTAAAATAAGAAAGTTGGAGCGCGACCAGCTTTTCTAAAACACCCTGTATATGCTAAAGCGAGTTTTTCAAAAAATTTAATTTCAACCATAAAACTTTTATTTGGGACACTTTTTTCTAAAATGTCAAATAAAAAAGATAGAGGGGGGTGACATTTATAACCAATAACCCTGTACTTCTGTTGATAAATAAGAGTTATAAATTAAACAAAAAATTATTTTCATCAAATTGTAAAATGGATTTTCCGTGAATATGTTTATACATAAGATATTAAAGATTTTCATTGTTAAAGCCTTAAACTAATTTTTTTTTCTCTTTGTTTTTACAGCTGTAATTGGTGGAGCTGTAGTGGGTCTATTGTGTGCAATTTTGGTAGTGATGTTCATCGTTTACCGAATGCGTAAAAAAGATGAAGGATCTTATGCACTAGGCGAACCGAAGCAATCTCCAAACTCGAATTCGTATAGTAGAGGAACAAATAAAGAATTTTACGCTTGAAGTTAGCGGAATCAATAAGAAAAGAAAGTGACTGCTGGCGAATTGACTGAACTTAATCATCATCTTTGGCTTGTTGTGTGTAACGTTGGTATCTTTTTTTCTAACAAATTCAAATTATTTGTGTTCTCACAAACGCATATCTGATTAAATTCAATGATAATAATTATAACTAAAAAATGCATTTTTGCACTTTTAATTTAACGCAAAATAGTATAAAAAATTATTACAAGGCTGGGTCTAGATAGTTACATTGCCAAAAACTGCCAACAGTATAAGTAAAGACATTTGTGTATTTTACACAATGTACAAACATTGAGTTATTGAATTTCAGTCATATATACCTTAAACGTATGTATATATTTATGTAACAAAAAAATAATAAAATAAACCTACTACATGTATTAACGTCCATTAGTTTTGGGTATTCAGTACATAGTTCGAATATTTTACAATTTTCACTATTTTTCTCAGACTGTCTATGATATTAATAAAAATACACTTGTACTGTATATCTGAAAATTATTGCAGAGTACCTAGAAAATATGGTTAAAGTTTAAAAGAATAAATAAAAAATGGATTATAGAAGTTCAATAATTGAATAACTACCTATTGCGTCTTGTGCGAAATTCGCTTCTGCTAATTTTTTTGATAAAAACATTCCTTTTCATTTATTTTTATAACTTTTGATACACTTTGGCATATTAGGCAGTAGTAATAATTCCTATGGTTTTGTTGGTAATTTTTCGGTAATATGGTTTTAGTCCTTGTATTGTTGAGGAACATTTATTATCCTCAAAAGACAGCACATTGTTTGTTGAAATCAGTTTGAATTGCTTACTAAAATAAATAAGATGTAACAGAAAATTTTAATGTTATTAGGCAGCTTGTATGAATTAGCCTTTTTTTATGTATGTATATTCACTATTTATTGTGGTATTGGTCTAATGAGGAGAAACCTTTTTTGATGAAAATATCAAGAAAATCACACATGCCCATACCTATTGGGTGAGAATTTCTAAAAAGATAGGATATAGAAATTTGGGTTTTTTTTTGCTGAAAATTAAACTTGCAAAAATAATCCAATGCAAATAAAATTATTATATAAATAATTATTGTTTGAAAAAATTGAATTGAGTGATTATTCACATTATCATACGCTCTGCAATATTAGATTGACGATAATGGCGTAGTTTTAAGATGTAATATCTAATTATTAATAATAGTATAATAATAATAACATAACAAACTAGATAAAATACGTATTAGGGATCCGTTGTAATGGATTTTATTTATTTTTATACCATAGAAAAATTTTCTGTTATATCCTAAATTACCAAAGCAAGTCAATATGGTGTTGGTAATGATGCGCAGCTTTATACAAAAATATTTATTTTTATTTTTATTATGAAAGTATCAATCTCTTTATTAATTTAACCCAATATTATTGTCATATTAATCAATAATAATATTACTACTACAATAACATTTTTTAATAAACTGATCGTAGCTACTCAAAAATCGAAGTGTATAGTATTAGAGTAATGTTGTACAATCTGGTTGTAAATAAAATCAAAATGTAAAACCTTTATTGTGGCATTTTTGTTTTAAACTATTGAATATTTACGATTTCGCCTTTCGACTTTCTTAAGTGGAATCTGCGTCATTCAATGATTATCTGACTTGCAACAGATTCCTTCATTTTCCTTGGTTAATTTGTGATTTCAAAAATTCCAGCATTCTGCAGAGAGTCCCCAGCAGATGGCTAATACTACCACGAGAATAACAAAACCCAGGGAGAGGCGACAAAAATTATTCGCACCTTTGATGTTTCAAGGATTAGTTACACACATCAGTGCAGTAGACCAGGCAACATAGGCTGAATATTGGGGTGTAGCTGAATTGATTCTCGGAAAACTGGAAATGGTTTTAATCTTTCCACTTACTTGTAAAAAGAGTTTTTTTTAAAGTTTGCAAAAATACGGGGGTCCCAAAAACCTGGACATTTCCTGGATGCAATTCTAGGAAATTTTCACTCTTCTATAAATAAAGTACACAAAATTCTGCGTCGAATGAGTACCATATACTCAAAATTGTCCCAAGTGGCTAAGAAAATATGCAAAGTCAAACAGCGACGTTATTTTCCATAAAAAAAAATGGGTTTTTTACTTATTTCCGCAATGTTATCTTGTAGAAATAATATATTTTCTTTCACTTTATTTAACATTTTGAAGTGTCTCGAGGAATAGAAGATGGTTTCTAACCTTCCTTTTCCAGGCTTCATCAAAAACAACTGATCGCTATTAGGAGCTAACGCAGTAATAATTAGCAAAACATCAATGTCTTCTCCTATTAGCATCACACATGCGGAGTGTGTAGCATTTTCTGTATGCATTCCAACGATGGTTGATGGTTTGTCAGCATCCTCTGAAGCTTGTTCGATGGCGATGTCGCACTGCAAATTTATGAATCAGCATTGATATGAAGCGGTCTGTCGAGATATTATTCAAAAACCTTGACACGACCGCAGATGAAATTGTTGCTGCCGGTGAAAAAGTAATTGTGGCTTTTTATGCCAAATCGCTTCTTCAATCTTGGTCTTTCAATGAAACACGCTTTGAACTGTTCATGAAATCCTTAGTACAGAATACTTTCAACTTTACTACTCTTCCTTCAACTGAAGAAGCTGCTAGACTGCATGCAATGGGGGCTTTCCTACAAATTAATTTGTGGAATGGTCACTTGATGGGTTCACTTCATTGGGGTTGGAAGATTACTAAGCATGGGCTACTCCCAGTAACATCAACAGCCGAATAAGCCCCGCAGGAATTACTTGATAACACTGCGTGCAAATGATTGAAGGCGTGTCGAAATGCTCGTGGTTACAGGAAGCAAGGAATGAAATGTTTCCCAATATGTTTCAAATGCAGAGGAGCCTCCTGCTTTCATATAGCAGATGAAATCGATGACGAACCAAACTTTAATGACGACGAAGTATTGCTACCTGACGAAGATGACGTATTCGTCCCAGTGTTACGGCTTCGAAATATGGAGATTTTCGAAACCAGATGAGAAGCTCTTGGCAAAATTTCTGAGAAAAGTTTTCTGAAAAATTTATGGTATAAGCGAAGCGGGAAATAAAGATCTGATAACAACAATCAAAATTGGCAGGCTTAGATGAGCAGGTCGTGTCGCACGTTATGACGCTAGCGTATCGTTGAGGAGAAATTTTGGGGTAAGACCAACGGGTAATAAATGCGGAGAGAGACCTGAAGATCCAAGAAAGATTGTTGCAGCTAACTTGATGGTACTGGCAAATGATCGGAAAGAATTGCGGACTAGGCTAGAGAAAGTTAGGGCTGTAGGACTATTGATGATGAACTTGTTTTTTATATGTTACATACATATCTATTAAAATTTTAGTTGTACATGATGGTTTTTTTCTGGACAATAAAATACATTTGATTGGTCGATTGACTCATTCCAAAAAATAATATGAAATCATAGATAAATGATAATTTTTTAAAAAAAAAAATTAAAATAAAGGTATGTTAAAAATTTGTGGGAAAAGCCCATCTATGTATGAGCGTGAATTATATTTCATGTCGGTGGAAAAATAATAGATTAAATATGAAAATCAGCACAAGAACTTGTTAGAGAAATGAGGATCACATCACATTTCAAAATATCAAGACATTCAAAAAAGTCTTATTCGAGGTTCCATTTTTCAGAGTCAATTTGAAGGTAAGGTTGTTCTGAAACATGGTGTTAATCTTTTTTCATGCCACAACAATAATTGTTCATCAATATTATTGCTTTCGATTCTGCATACAGGGTGACAAAAGTATAGCAATCCGGAATATCTGCTAGACAAAAAATACTACCAGGAAGATCTCATATACGTATTGGGGAACTGAAGAGGGAACCAAAATGAGGCACTTTTTGATTCACCCCTTAGGGGGTAGCTACCAACTTATTTTTCTGAACTACGGACCTCTCCCTTGTGTTGCACATCCTTGGATACCTCGTTGCTTTCCCTTTCACAGTCTCATAGCAAAATCTTAGATCGTACGATTAGTTTTTCAGATGTCGGCGTTTTAAAGTAAAAAGTCTTAATTTTGACTATTTCTTAGGCAAAAGAATTCTCTCATAAAAGTCTCCAATACACATAGGGGAAACCAAATGTTTTTGTTGCCTAACCCCCACCCCTCTTTTTTTTTATATTATATGGTTTACTGAATATTTTTCATCAAAGCACAGGTACGTACTGCTGATTTCAAAGGATGTGCACGCAATGAATCTAGGCTCTCCCTAGTCCTACGACAAGACGTTTATTTGTTTATTTTACAATAATGTCTTCAAGAATTTGTACATAAATTGGCTGGGCTGGGCTGGGCTATGAAGTTCGAATCTTTATATTCGAACTTCAGACATTCAAATACACGAACTTAAAGGAAGAATAACCCTCTCGTGCGAAACTTCTGACGAAACCTCTATCAACGGTACCTGAGAAGAAAAGTCTAGGCAAAAAGGCTGTTAGAGTCAAGACCACTTGCCGACATACGAAGTCCTCCAACTCACTGGACAGATGAAATCAAAAGAATCACTAACAATTGGATCAGGATAGAGGATAGCCCAAGACAGGAAAGAGTGGGCAGTAATAGGGAAGGCCTATGACCAGCAGTGGATGCAGATGGCTGGAAGATGATGATGATGAATGTCTTCAACATACTTTAATCTTTTCATTCACGTGTGAATAGGGTTTTTTAAAGTTTGCACAAATTTCCTTCTTGTGCTCTATACGGGGTGTCCCAAAAACCTGGACATTTGCTGACTTTTCTCAGTTTTTCACTTATAACTCCTAAATGATGCATTTCTAGGAAATTTTTAATCTTCTATCAATTAAAGTACACAATTCTGCGTCCAGTGAGTACTCCCTCAACTATGTCTCAAGTCGTTAGGAAAATATGCAAAGTTAAAGAGCAACGATATTTTCCATTAAAAAAAAAATTTGTTTTTTACTTATTTTCGCAATGTTATCTAAATGTAACACATGAAATAAAAGTTTTTAACATTTGGACATCCTATTATAGTATCATACCGTATCGAATCGTATATGCGAACGATGGTTAACAAAAAATAAATAACAAATACAAAATTATATAAATACAGCTTTGACTGGATTTACTGCGTTTGGGAGTAGAAAGTAGAAGCTGATGGAAGTAATTGGTCCAATTTAAGGTCATCGTCATTGAGAAGGTTTTCCACTAACGTTTTATATTATCGGATTTCTGTACTTCTTGATAGGCTAGGCTTACAGAGTAACTTTGACAATCCGTAATAATAGCGATTGGCAAGCAATATGCGTCTTTTTATTTCCTTGGTGATATTATTGTGCCGGGTTTTCAATTGATGGGACAGGCTCCGAGATATACGAACTCATCCACTGCTTCCGATGTTATACCATCTCTAGCCCTGCGTTCCTTTGTGGCAGACATGAATCGGGTCTGTTGTCTATCGACCCCTTTTTAAAACCATATTGGTATTGTTCATTGTTCGGCATATGCCCCTATGCATGCTGTCAGGATGCGCGACTGTATTTTGTAAGCAGTATTTAATTCACCTTTTTTGTGTAAACGTTCCACTGTTCTGGCATTTGTTTTTCATGCCACACTTTTAAAATTATTTTCAATTGCCTCTTCCAGCTTCCTACCACTGGCACCAGGAGTTCTGCAGTGATGGTATCTTTTTCAGGAGCTTTATTGTTTCTTAACTTTCTGACGGCGTTCTATATATTTCCTACATATCTGGCGGTTCTACTGTGTCTCTATTTTGTACTTCTAGTTCTTCTTTGTCATCATAGTCTGACTATTGCTAAGACTTCCTTTCTTTCAGTTTTCAAGGCAGAAATTTCTCTCGGGCTTGGTAAGCACTATATGGTATTCAATGATCCCGTCGTCTCCATCGTGTATTTGCGTCAGACAGCCTTGATATTCAAGTTTGTTTCCTAGATAATTTTTTTATCTGCACGTGGACAGCTTATTATAGGACTGGAGCATAAAGCTGCCTTTCGCCTCAAAAAAGTATGCCACTATCGGTATATGATTCAAAAGTAGTAGGTAGTAAGAGTAAGCAACAAACCCTCTAGAATGGATTTTCGAAAAACACTTCCATCCTTAACAAAACTACCCTTTATAAGATTTCAATTTTAGTATCAATAAATAAATATCAAAAAGACGAGAGCTTCTACAACTATTTTTCACATCCATTTATAAAATAATAATGACTGATCAGCAACTTTCAATATGAAGGGGATGCTCAAATGAATAACAAAAGAAAATCAAATATCTATTTCCATTCAAGAACTGAAGCCACAACATTAAAAAAATCCAGTACATACTTTAGGTACTTACCTTTTATTATTTCCACTACTTAAAGGTAGGTATATGATATGGGCAATCATTCACGACTGCACCGCAGCTTCCGTATACCAAAAACGTAAAAAGCTTTAAAAGCTATTACTTGATCATAAAAAATTACATGAATATTACAAACCGTGTTTGTTATTTGAAACTGGTTGCTAAATAATCA